TTCCACTGTTCTATTTTTCCTCTCAACAACACCATTTTGTTGTGGTGTTCTAGGTGCTGAGAAGTTATGCTCAATCCCATTTGTAGTACAAAATTGTAGGAATTGTGAGTTCTCAAACTCTAGTCCATGATCAGATCTGATGCTGATTATTTCTTTGTTGAATTTCTTCTGAACCAGCTTTGCAAAAACTTCAAACATAGTGAATGTCTCATACTTTGTTGCAAGAAACAATGTCCAAGTGAATCTTGAGTAGTCATCAACTATTACAAACACATTTCTTTTTCGACCCCTGCTTTGTATACGCATTGGTCCACATAAATCCATGTGAAGCAGTTCGAGTGGCTTAGTAGTACTTACTGTCAACTTTGGTTTGAAGGATGACCTAACCTGTTTTCCTTGAATGCAGGTTCCACATACTTGGTTGTCCTTGAAACTTTTGGTTGGCAATCCCCTAACCAGGTCTTTAGATATGAGCTTGTTTATAGTTGTCATGCTAATGTATCCCATTCTTTTGTGCCATAGCATGGAGCAATCTGAGACTGCACTTAGACATTTAAGATTATCTTCCTTGGAGTCAACAGTCTTGACTTTGTACACATTCTTGTGTCTCTTTCCTAGTAGAACGAGGTTTCCAGTCACTGAGTTTGTTACTCTGCATTCTTTTTCTGTAAAGAGAACGTTGTTTCCTTTATCACATATTTGAGATACGCTCAAAAGGTTATGTTGTAGACCATTCACATAATATACATTCTCAATTGCATGAGTATCCATTGATCCAACCTTTCCAATTCCCTAAATTTCACCACTTTTACCATTACCAAAGGCAACGTTTCCGCCTTTGATGTTCTTGAGTGAGAGGAAGCTTCTTTTATCTCCAATCATGTGTCTTGAGCATGCACTATCCAAGTACCATTGTTGCTGCTTCCTCTTCACTGATCCCTGCAATTTATTGTTGAATTTTAGATTTTGGTACCCAAATCCACTTTAATTTAAGCTTAGGGAATGAGTGGATAAGATTTCTTCTGGCCCAGATAGAAAGAGATTTGTCTGTAGGGATTTGTTTTTGCTCATTGGGTTTATCATGATGAGGTTTTCTCAAGGATTTCAAGTTTTTGTTATGAGCTGTTTGTTTCTTTTGACAATCATGGCTTTTATGTCCTACCAGTCCACAGTGCATGCATAAACAGTCTATGTTGGGATTTTTTACTTGAGAGCTGGTTCTATCAAAACCTATCTCATGTTTCTCAATTGTGCGATTCTTGTGAATGCTGTCAAGCAGTATGGAGGACCTGGTCCATCTCATTCCATTTTCTGCTTCAGTTTTAGTCACAAGAAGCTCTTTGGAGAGTGTTTCATTCCTTTTAGTTACCAATTCTAGATTTTTACTTAGTTTGGTATTCTTAGATAAAAGATGAAGATTCTGTTTTTCAAGACTCTTGTTTTCTTCTCTTAGTGATGCATAGTCTTCCATTATCAGTTCCCTTTATGAGTCTATGCTTTTATATGCATCAATGAGAGTGTAGAGTAAGGATTCTAGCTCTCTTTTTGAGTATGAACCTAGATTGTCTTGTAAGTGATGAAGACTAACCTTTTCATTTGTATCTTCTTCTTCTTTTTCCTCTTCAGAATCTGATCCAGCCATGAGTGCTAGTATGGTTTCTTGTGATCTGCAAGTTTCCCTTTCTTCCTTGGTTTCCACTGCTACAAGGGCAAGAAATTCATAATCATCTTCTTGTTCTAGTGCAAGAAGAGACTGGTTTTCTGTCTCATCACCCTCAAACTCTTCATCAGATGAATTCCCCATTGCTGCAAAAGCCCTCTTCATGGACATGTCTGCCTCTTGAGTTGTCATTCTTCTGTTTGAGGGAACAAACTTATCCTTTTTGATGTCTTTACCTTTCTCAAAGTTTACCTTTTTTTGCTCTACAGCCCAAAGTGGACAGAATTTTATGAAGTGATCTGGACTCCCACACTTATGACAAACCTGGTCTTTAGTGTTTTCAGATGGTTTTTGAAAAGCTTTCTTTTGAAAGGTCTGCCCTCTCTTTAGCATTCTAGTGAACCTTTTCGTTATGAGGGCGATATTTTCATCTTCAAAATCATCTGATGCAGTAGCCTTTAGAACCAGGTTCCTTTTCTTTCTTTTTCCTCCAATTTCCTTTTCTTGGTTTTTCTTAAGTTCGTATGTGATGAGATTACCAATTAACTCATCCATTCCCAGTGAGTCCAGGTCACGGGCTTCAGTGATAGCTTTGAGTTTGCTTTCCCAAGTTTCAGGAAGGACACTCACGAGTTTCCTTACTGCTTTTCTGTTAGGCACTATCTCTCCTAAAGAGTACATCTCATTGATGATGGAGGTGAACCTGGTGTGCATGTCTTGAATAGTCTCTCCTTCTGCCATCCTGAACAACTCATATTGCCTGTTCAAGTTATCAATTTTAGACTTCTTGACTTGCGTTGTTCCCTCATGAGCTGTTTGCAGTGTTTCCCATATGGGTTTGGCATCTTGACATGACGAGATTCGATTATATTCGTCTGGTCCTATGCCACATATCAGAATTTTCTTGGCTTTGGCATTGTTTTGAATTGCAAGCTTGTCTTCAACATTCCATTCCTTTCTTTCTTTTGGAATTTTGGTGATTCCATCAATTGCTGTTTTCATAGGTATGGTTGGACCATCTAGAATTACTCCCC